GAGGGAGAGAAGAGGCATTACACTATAAGACATAAAGGGAAAGTACCAAACCAGCTTCCTGGTAGACAATAAATTTCATTTGGTTGGCAAAAAAGAAAATGTTTATTCTCTAGAAACTAGGCATCATTTTCCTGCACTGAAGATCAGCGATGCACAGTTGAGAGCCATGTGGCCTGCCTTACTGAAGAAGATTCATTTGTACTCAGTAATATCCCCATTTTCACTTTAAAAAGTCACTGGCTTTACTTGGAAAGCACCCAAAACTCACAATACAGAAGTAATTCTGGTACATCAAGGACAGAATGGAGGACTCTATACTTAGTTCTGCCAGTCCTTAGAAGTTCAAACCAAAATTCTTTGCTCACCATCCAAAAAATCCTGTCATACCATTACTGAGAAACTGGCAAAGCCTTTTGAGACTTTCAGACGCTAGAGAAACTGTGAGGGGCAGAATTTTGCTATCTCTCTCGCATGGGAAATTAAGGCATAGGTGGACTAAACTAGTATATCAAAGAGGCGAAAGATTAAGAAACGAAGGCTTTGCTAGATATACCGTTCTGCAAGCCAACATCCCTGCAGCAAAAGAGAATCAATCCCCAGAACACACACGGGGTGCACACTGAAAACCCCTGGGACAAAGGACTTGTTTTAGCAGGTAAGGAAAAGCATTAAAAGCTGCGAGAACGCATCTCCCCACTGGATCTTAAGAAACCCGTGGAAAGCGTGCCTCTTCCAGGGCAATGCACACTGCACAATCAGATTTTGCATCAGTGGAAGAATTATAAACACTACAACGTAGCTTGTAAATCATCAGTACATGACAAAGTAACTTATGCTCACTGGCAAAACTATCAAATCCATCAAGACCCAAACATGGTTTGCTTTGCATCTCCCTCTCCCCTTTTAAAGGCAAATTCACCTTCTTCAGCTTAGACTGATCATCCTTGTAAGTAATCATCAGGGCTAGTGCCAGATCCCCTTTCTCCCTTCGGGTGCCTTCACACAACAGAGGATGTTCTGCTTCACTGACAGTTGTTTTCATGCCTGCAGGCCAGAAAAGAGGGGATGAAGAGACAAGTGAGCCCATGGGACTACACCACATCCTGAGCACTATCTATACCTCAGACTACTTTATCTCACCTCCCTGTAACAAGCAAAAGAAGATCCCCCCCGCTAGTTTTCTGTTAACTTCAGAAGTAGGTCATGAATAAACAGGAGCTGCTGTCTGTCCCCAGAATACTAAGCTTGCTACAACTGTCAGAACAACCAGATCCAAATATGCCACAGGAAAAGAGTCCAGGCAAGTCCACAACTCCACCTTGAAACAAACTTTTCCAGTTTCTGCAGATGCTACAAGCCAGCACTCCCACACCATAAAGAACTCATCTTCCTCCTTTCAGAGATGAGGCAAGAGAGGACAGGCCTTGTTTAATCCATTCTATTCCTCTTCACATGCTGCTTTAAAACAGGCATACAGTATTGTCAACATAATATATATAATGACTGCTTTGTTGCTGAAGCTGATAAATGATGCAAGAATTCAGTATTATGCTAAGATCCTGAATTATATAATAATCCGTGAGAGCACTTCTGCTAGTCTTTCACTATCATTGTCTAACCTCTTCTGGAATTACTGCCTTTTGTTCTCTGAAACTGTCCATCTCCATTAAAGCCCATGCAATACATCTTCTGCAACAAAACAGCAAGAAAACTAAAATTCATGTTACTACTTTAACATTCAGTTCCTGTCCCATATCCTCCTTCGATTTTTCACAGCTTTACAAAGGCACCTCAACCCTAGCATGCAGAATCCTTCTGCATCTGGTTCTGATAAACCATGCAAACGCTTTCATTTCCACAACAAACTGGAATGAACTACTAACTCTCACCATCCACAATGAGGCAGGATGCAGAACATGGATAAAGAAAGACTTTTCTTGTAAAAGATTCTTACCAAGAGCAGCAACAGCTGCCTCAAAACCAAGCTCTTCGTCTCCAGGCATTTCATTATTCCAATTACGGCTTGGGGGTCTAGAGCCTGTAGGAGAAACCACTGAAAGAAGACAAGAGAATTAGTGCTCAGCTTTCAAAACTAGGACCTCAAGGCAAAAGCCATTTCTGAGAGCTTTCTGAATTTGCAGAGCTTCCTGTGGTCCTGTTCCTAGCCTTGTACCAGTTTCAAGACCACAGCACTGTCTTGGTTTTTTTTTTTCCCCTTTCTCTCGCTAAACTCAGACAGCTCCAAACCAGGCAGGTAAATTGCCAAGTCAGTCTTCTAATCCCAGGTTGTTGTGTTCTTTTTTAAATACTAGATTTATATTAGCTTCCTCTGAATATTACCAGCACAAGATTAGAAAAGTCAGTCATTTATAACTATTTTACAAACACATAGGGAGTGCTGAAATGTGGTAAGTTTCCAGTTGGTTTCAAATGTAAGCAGAAGGAGAGATAATTCCATTGGGGCACAAAGTACCTCTAACACAACATGGAGGCAAAGAGCAAGCAACAGTGTGTGAATAATCAAGATTAGGTTGTCCTTATACAGAAGACAGTTTCTTCACTTTTCACTTGAGGGGAAAACTCCTCAAGACCTAGCATCTCAGAACATGCCCTTCGTGCACTCAAGCCAATACAGACGGTACCTGGAGTGCACAGGACGTCAAATATAAAGCTAGCCAACATCAGCGGCAGGACAGGACGGTAATCACATAATGTCCCTTCTCTCAGTTCTTCAGCTCTTCCTCGAATAGTGTTCATCTCATTAGTGCCCAAAGGAATCTTCTTCAAGAGGGCTACAATCTCAGACTCCTGATATGCCAGCTTCACCTGGTAGTATCCACAAGGAAACAGAAGCAGCTGTCATTAGCACAGGCCCTGTGGGCAGCGGACCATTTTTCCCTATACATATGTTAAGACACAGCAATAGTTTTTATTGGATCATTAAAATATAGCAACTCTTAGCACCTTTTCCACCTTTACCATTCTCTCCACACTGAACACGGATTTTCAAATCCAATACAAGTCTTGCCTCATATTTATACACAAATTTTTTTACTCAAATTATCACTCTTGCGCTGCATACAGGAAAAAACACCTCAGCTTTCATAAGAACATCAGGAGAAGCATTTGACTGGGTAAGTCAGTGGAAAAGGTGATTACTCT